ATTTGTATGTTAAAGTTCCACCTATATGAAAATGGTTCCACTTATCTTTTTTAAGATTCCTCATCTACCTTCCATGGTTGTATGTTTTGTTTTCATATGTTTGTTTGGAATTCATCTTCTATAATAATGGTTTCAAATGTCTTTTCAGGGTTCCTTGTTTCTGTCAATGGTTTTAGATGTCTGTCAGGGTTCTGCTTGTATATTCATGGTTGAACTGGTTCAGCAGGTCTGGTTTTATATTCAGGCTTTCACTTGTATGTAGGTCCAACTTAGTTGTTTGGTTCGAGTTGAATGTTTTTGGTTTCAGACATCTGTCAGTGGTTCCACATGTCTGTTTGTACGTTTCTCATTTCTCTCCATGGTTCCATTCGTATGTCTTTGGTTTCACGTTTGTTCAGAATTCCACTTGTATGGTAATGGTTCCAACAATGGTTCTTTCCAAGGCTCCACGTGTCTATCAATGGTATAAAATGTCTCTTGAAGGATTGCATGGGTCTTTTTTTGGTTACTTATTGTTAGAGTGATAATTATAAAATTAATGTATGGGCATATGAAACATTCTGGTTCTGGTTCTATCCTGTGATTCAATCAGGAGGGTCATAAACTTTTATGACCTGCATCCAGTAGGTCATGAGGCAGAGTCACACGGTTGTGTGACTTCCATCCAGCCAGATGGTCATTTCACACTGTCCTATGACCTGCATCCTGCCAGATAATCATTACTGGGTTTTTTGTTTAAGGCCCGCCCTATTATGTTGTAAACTGTTAATAAAAGGCTTTGCTGTGAAGGGATCTGAGTGAAACGGTGCTGGTTTTGAGCCAGCAGTCTTTCTCCCTTTTGGGTTTTAATCCAGAAAAATGTGAGTTTAAAAGATTAAAAGGAAATGATCAACACAGAGACAGGGTTTTGTGACGTCAGTGTCCGCAGGGTGGAGAGAAGCTGCTGGCTCGGAAAACCAGCACCTTCTCACACAGATCCCTTCATAGCAAAGCCTTTTATTAACAGTTTACAACATCATAGGGTGTGCCTTAAACAGAAGACCCAGTAATGATTATCTGGGGGGATGCAGGTAACAATGCAGGTGTAATTTGACCAACTGGCTGGATGGAAGTCACACAACCGTGTGATTCTGACTGGAGGTCATAAAAGTTTATGACCCTTCTGGTTGACACAGCATAGAAATGTAGCATCCTCTTTCTTTCAATGTTTCATATGTCCACACAATAATTTTATAATTATCACTCTAACACTCCCCTATGCAGAGGTTGACAAAATCCCTGTCTATGTTTGATCATTTCGTCCTCTTAATCTTTTAAATTCACATTTCTCTGGATTTAAACCCAACACTTATATCTACCTAGAGTTCCACTTGTATATTTATGATTTCACTTATATGTTAATTAATGGTTCCACGTGTGTTGTTAGGGTTCAACATGCTTGTTAACGTCTGAGTTGAATGTTTTTGGTCCTACATGTACGTCTAAGGTTCAAATTAAATATTAATGGTTTAACAAATCTGTTAATATTTTCAAATGTATGTTAATGGTTTCTCATGTCTCTTTCAATTTCACTTATTTTTTAATGCTCCTACATATCTTTTAATGGCTCCATGTGTTTTTTCATGGTACCACTTATATGTTTCCACTTTTTTGTTTAGGGTTCATCTTGTTTTTTCAGTAGTTCCACATGTCTGTTTTTTGGGTTCTCCATGTCTTTTGAGTGTTCTACTTGTATGTTAATGGATCAGCATGTATGTCAATGGTTCCACATATCTATTTATGGTTTAAGTTGTATGTTATTGGTTCGAATAACCTGTTTAGGGTGCCATTTATATGTACTTTTTCTCACATGTCTGTTTTCAGTACTTATGCATGTTAATGGTTCCACTTTTATACTAATGTTCCACTAATGTATTTACAATTCCACTTGTTTGTTTATGGTGTCTATTTAGGGTTATATTTGCATGTGAATGGTTCTACATCTCTGTTTAGGGCTCCTCATATCTGTCAATGGTTGTACTATCTTATTATGGTTCAAAATGTTTGTTTTTGGTCACAGTTGTATGTCAGTGGTTCAGCATGTGTGCTGAGCAGTCCCAGTGTTTCTTTTTTCTGTCCTTAACAATCTCTCTACACATTTCTGATATGGGTGATTGAAGCCCCCAGACCAGACAGAGATGTAGCTGGTCAGTATGCTCTCTATTGTCCCTCTGCGGAAAGAGGTGAGGTGGGGATGGGGTGGGGATTTGCTCTCCTAATCTGATGCAGAAGGCGTTGATGCTGCTCTACTCTCTTAACAAGGGTAGAGGCGTGAAGGGAACAGGTCAAGGTGTCTGTGGTCTGTATCCCCAGTAAATTGATCCTGCTGACTTGCTCCATATTAATAAGTGGAGGGATGTGCGACTTGGCAGACCTTTTCTGGTGTCAATGATAATCTTGTCTCTTTTGTTTATGTTTAGGATGAGATGCTTGTGTTGCACCAGTCCACTGTTTCCCTTCCTCTCTGGAGGCCAGTTTGCTGTTGTCCCTGATGAGACCCACCATGTCGTGTCGGCTGCATACTTGACGTGGTTCCTTCTGAGCATGGTAGAGAGGTCTTGGGTCATCAGGGGGAAGAGCAGTGGGTTCAGTACGCAACCATGGGGGAGCTGTTGCTGAAGGAGATGATGATAAATGTGTTTTTGCCTTCCCAAACAGACAAGCGCATGGTCCTGGGGGATTATCATGTTGAATGCACAGCTGAGGTCCAGAGGCAGCACTCGCATGTTGATGCTGTTATTCTATAGGTGTCCTAGGTGGAGCGTAGAGGAGACTGTGTCTTTTGTGGAGCAGTCAGAGCAGTAAGCAAACTGATGCGGATCAAAAGAAGAAGGCATTAAAATGATGGGATCTTTTATTAGCCTCTTGAAGCAATTGATTATGATGGGAGCTGCTGCGACTGGGCAATAATCGCTAAGTGATGAAATTGTGAGTTTTTTGGCTACTGCTGCGATGGTTGCAGTCTTGAAACAGGATAGGTTGACAGCAAGGGTCACTGAAACATTAGGTATGTCTTTGAGTACAAGAGCCATCTGGTCAGCACAGTATTTGAGCACTGCTATGTATCAATGACTACTGCTTTTCGTATGTTGAGTCTTCTCACCATCCTTAGAACGTTTGCTGTTTTAACTCTGAGTGCCTTTTTCATCTGGTTCACAGGAGTATTGATTAGTGCTTCAAATTGACCAAAATAGTTACTCCCAAAAACATTGCATCCTTTTCCATATCTCTCTGTCCAGCTCCAAGGAAATACACAGCCATTAACATCAATTGGAGCATTTATGAATGGTGGGCAAGGTGACGACGGACAGCCAGCAAAATTCAACTTAATAGAGAGGTTGGCTACAGTCCCATGTACAGCTGTAGTCACAGGAACATTAAACTGTTTGAAAATATATATAGCCTTTACCTTTAACATTTTTATCTATTCCAGGGGTCACCAACCTTTATAAGGCTCAGGGCCACTTCAAGGGTACTGAAGAAGGGCCACCATTACTAACCCATGAAATGCAAGGGGCAGCATTCACCTAAACCTTGTACATTATAAATATATTTTTATTGTTTCATTAAATTTCTAATTTTATTTTAGAA